ATTCGAACGGTACGTTTGGACGATCAGCAATACGCGAAGGGGCAATTACTAATGCGCGACTGTACGATTAGTAATGAGTGAAGTGGCGATTAGTAATGCGCGACTATACGATCAGTTTACGCAACTGCACGATTGGTAATGCGCGAATGTACGATTAGTAGTGTGCAACTGTACGATTACTAATATGCAGTTGAAGAATCCAGTAGGCTTAGTGTAGCAGAAGAGTTTGCGAACTAAGGACCTCAACTTATTCACTTTGCATTTTACCATCCAGTGTTAAACTGCCTTTGTCTTAGGGTATGAGCCTAAGCCCCGTTTTTTTAAACAAAAACTCCAACTACGCCTTCTCCATGGACGCCGCCTCAACCCCAACCGCTCGCATCAACAAGTTCCAAGGGACCAAATTTTACACATGAAAATTCAAGATGCGGATGGTTCTGGAAGAGCGCGACTGAGGGAAGCCACAAGTGGAGAGGTCAAGCTGTAGCACCTTATAAACGCGATGGATTAATCGACGTTCAAATGAAAGTTGCGCAAGGCGCTGGCGATTATCTGGATCACGATGGAGGATTCACAGCTGCCGCTGGTCGGTTCTGCGATTGAAGCGTACAATGCATGGTCAAGACTATAGGAACACTACGAGAAGAGGAGTCCAAAGAACAAGTTATTCCATCGTCGACGCTTCTTCAGTGTCGAAGATGGATGAAGGTGATGATGTGCTGGAGCACATCAACAAGCTTAGAACTCTGGCGGAGCAGCTAGATGCGGTCGGCGCTTCAGTCAGCGAGGACGACTTGGTGATCACACTTCTTGGTAGTCTAAGCAAATTGTACCAGTTCTAATCACAGCTTTTTTTTCAAGTCGCGTGCCGACTTTCTGCCGCGGGAACTCGTGACGTCTTGGCTAATGCATGAAGATATGAAGCGCAAGGAACAAGCTGACGGCGTCGATGGAGCCGTGCAAGTTCAAGATCAAGCGCTCATGACATGCGACCACAGCAAGCAAAAACGAGAACGACATGTGCAGAAGGCCAGTGCATGTCACTACTGTGGCGAGCAAGGACATTTGATTGCAAAGTCTCCAGGCGAGTATCCGCAATAATGCGGAAAGGCAGAGTCCCCAAAGAGCAAGCGTCGCGCAGGTAGAAGAAGACTGGCGACTTTCTGTTCTCAGTTGATGGAGATAGCATCAATCTGAGTGAAGAATGGTTGGTCGACTCGGGTGCGACTCAGCACATGGTGTACTCGAAAGAGTGTCTGAAGAAATACCAGAAGATCTCGCCAGCGGATGTACATTTGGCGGATGACAGCGTGTAAGCAGTGGGAACGGTAGACATTATCATGTCAATGAGGACCAAACACAGCATCGAGAAAGATGTGCTTACTACCGTGTGGCACATCCCCAAGTTGACGCACAACGCGTTCTCGGCGAGACGTTTTACGAAGGACATTAGACCCGTCACTTTTGAAAATGACAGGCTCTTTGATCAGGCGAAGAGTGTGAAGTGGCAGATGGGTACGCGCGAAGAAAAGCCTATTCAAGTTATGTGTGACCCCTCTCATGCCAGATGAGACAAACGTTTCAAGTTCAACCAGTTTCAATGGGACCACCAGTTCGTGCCTCTGGCATCTTCGACTTGGCCATATCGGCCATGGCAGTCTGGACCTTATTGACAAGAAGGACTACGGCATCGGTATTATTACGTCTGTGCAGCAGTGAGAGACGTGTCAAGGATGTGCTCTTGGCAAACACACGCGAGTGATATTTTTGCCAATGTCCTCAGAACGTGCAAAGAAGAGGCTAGGAGTCGTCTTCAGCGATGTCTGTGGTCCTATGCAAACAGCTACATTCGGTAGCAGCAGATACTTTGTAACGTTCATTGACGAGTATTCACACTTTTGTGTGGTGTTCTTGCATAAGAACAAGTCTGAAGTGGCTGCCAAGTTTGCCTAATTCGTCGCATTGCAGAGACTCAGAATGGCAACCGCGTCATGCTACCTCGCAGTGACAAAGGCGAACAATACAAATTACATGAGATGGCCAAGCTGTACAGCAGTCGGTAAATTAAACATAAGTTCACGCTTCCCTACACACATCGCTTCAACGGAGTGGCAGAACGGATGAACAGGACGTTGATGGAAGGCGCTCGCTGCACGTTAGAGCATGCCGGTTAGTCCATGGAGTATGGGGTGAAGCGGTCGTAACTGCTACATTTCCTCGAAACTGATGCCTAACACGTGCCACAAGTCAAGAGAAGTTGCCACATTAATTCTGGACAGCAAGAAACTACTAATTTTAAATGCGAAGGTGTTCGATTGTCACACATACGTGACGGTCGCGAAGCAAAAGAGCACCAAGTTTAATGCACAGTCAGTGTATTGCCGATTCGTAGAATACTCTGAGCACGAGAAAGCGTATCGATTTGAAGACATCAAGAGCCGTCGCGTACTAGTGAGTCGCGACACTAATTTCATGGAAGACGTCTTTAAAGGTGGGAGACGCACACAAGGAGATGCAGAAGATGTCATAAAATCAACGAAGATGAGATTACAGGTCTCCCTTGTCCGCTCCAGTTCTGAGCTGGTTGTTCAACGCACTAAGGAAACAGCAGCCTACCTGAAAGTAAACTACCTTTCTTCATGGCACAACAAGAGTAGCCCGACCACCAAACCGCATTCAGTCCCCGAAAAAACCCATACACAGTACAGCGTAGGCGTGTGGACTTCTTAGAGGGACTTTTGGGTAATCAAACCAAAGAAAGTTAGAGGCAGTAACAGGTCTGTGATGCCGTTAGATGTTCTGGGCCGCACGCGCGCTACATTCATGCGTTCAACGAGTATACAACCTTGATCGATATGTCTGGGTAATCTTTTGACCTTCCATCCTTACACTTTAAGCCTGACAAAGAAGACGCTGCGCGAGACCAAGAAATGGAGCCCGGCAGTAAGCGCCATGCGCGAATCCAGTCGTTGGAACAAGCGGTGAAGATTCAGGTTTACAAGCGACAGAGTCGACGAATTTTTCCTAGAAACATTTCGGCGGTGGCACAAGTCGAGGACTTCTTTAAATCAGCCTACTTTGTGGAATAAGTGGGAGATTTGCCGACAACGTTCAAGTCACCGATGGAATCAAGCAACGCGGTCAAGTGGAAGAAAGCGTGCGACTCGAAAATCGACTCCCTCCGCAAGAACAAGACATGACAGTCGATACAACTACCCAAGAGTCGGAGAAAAATATCGGCTGGTGTTTTGCGTCAAGAAGAATCAAGATGGTGAGATCGAGCCTTTTAAAGAGTGCCTCGTTGCGAAGGGTTCATGCAGAAGTTCGGCATCAAATACGAAGAAGCATTTGCTCCAGTTGCCAAGTTCACTTCGATTAGAGTCATTCTGAGTCTGGCAGCCAAGCATCACATTGATGTGCACCAGATAGATTTCAAGACCGCGTCCCCGAACGGCGAGCTAGATGACGACATCTACATGGTGCAACCGGACGGATACATCGACGAAGATCACGAGCATATTGTTTCCAACTGCAGCGTTCACTGTACGTACGGAAAGAAATCACCGCGGATGTGAAACAAGACTATCGAAGAATTCATGATCAAGACCGGATTCAATAAATGCGGGTCCTACCACTGCATTTACGTCAAGCGAGATGAGCAGCACGTGATCTTTGTGGAGCTCTACGTCGATGATTTTATCATCTCGACCAGCAGCAACAAGCTTCTAGGTGAAGCTAAATGCGCACGAAGTGAGAGGTATGAGATGACAGACACGGGTAAGCTCAAGTTCTTCCTTAGAATCGAGTTGAGCGGGACAAATCAGGTGGGAAACTTTTATTGCGCCAGAGCAATTTCGCGAGAGACATTTTTGAGAAATTCGACATGCTGAATAGAAATTCAGTCCGGTCGCCACAAGACCCGGACCCGAAGTTGGCCAAGGCCATGTGCGAAGGAGATTACAAGCGTGAAGAAACGATGGAAAACGTGCCCTACCGGAACGCCTTAGGATGCCTCATGTATCTCGTGGTGGGCACCCGTCCCGACCACGCAGCTGCAGAGGGAGTGCTCAGCCAGTTTACCTCCGACCCGTGTCCAACACACTGGCAAGCACTCAAAAGGTTTTTTTTTGTATCAGGGTAGCCCATTACATGATATTGACACCAAACGGTGTCAATAGGGAGTTTGTCCAGCGTGACAATTCCCTACCAATATTATCCGAGATGGATAATATTGAAGGAATGGTATCCCCTTTGCAGGATAATATTCATGCGCTGCTCAAATATTGGTTGATAAAGACATGTCAACCAAGTTTGTTACCAACCGCTGCCAGACGCGCGTAATGAGTGGTGATCAGGTTGTCGTCATACAACAATGTAGATTAACATAGTTAGATAAAGACTGAAGTTATATTGATAGCTTAACTATATTAAGTACAGTTCTCTTTTTACCCTTTACTCAAACTAGCTGTTTGAGTAGACTAGCTTCCTCTGCACGTACCAGTGTACGTGAAGTTTCGCGGCACCCCAAACGAAGGGTGCCCCGTTACATTTTTGGTACATAAATGGTACCAGGACACACGGAATTGGGCTTCAAGCAAGAGATGATGACGACAGTCTTCAAGGGTACTCGGATGCAGACTGGGCTGGCGACATGGAGTCAAGGCGCAGTAAAAATGGCTATGCATTCAAGATGAACAACACCGGCATTAGCTGGAGGAGCAAGAAGCAACAAACGGTGGCACTATCATCAACGGAAGCAGAGTACATGGCGCTATCGGAGGCTACACAAGAAGCAGTTTGGTTGAAGTGTTCCTGTGCGAACTTGGTGAGATGGCAAGTAACAAAGCTATCAAGATATACGAGGACACCAAGGATCGATTGCATTTGCCAAGGACCCAGAGTTTCACAAGCGCACCAAGCACATTGACATTCGCTACCATTTTGTTCGTGGAAAAGTTGCTGAAGGAGAAGTGGCGATAGAATACTGCCCAACCAAGGACATGAAGGCCGATATAATGAACACGCCGATCACTGTCGTGCAGTTCCAGAGACTTCGGAACTTGTTGAGTATCAAGGCGCCTAGGTCTGCCAAGTCGAGTAGGAGTGCTGTCGAAGAAGCACCTCGGCCAGAGAGTGGGAACCGAACGGTGCGTTTGGGACGATTAGTACTGCGCGAAGGAGCGATTTCTATTGCGCCACTGTCCTGCCCTCTGGCCCCTTTGCTATTCCTCGTGGTGGTTGAGTTGTTGGGAATTGTAGTTCAGCAGTCTCCCACCTTGAAAGGACTCCCGGTCCCAGGTAGCCGTACTCAAACGCACCTCTTCTCTGCGTTTGTCGACGACTCTACGATTTTTCTCGAGCAAGCGAATCAGCTGGCACCGGCTCTTGCCCTCGTATCACTCTTTGGAGCCTTATCTGGACTGGAAGCCCAGCCGTCAAAGAGCAAAATCATACTCTTGAACACAGGGGTGCAGATGCGAAAAATGGTTGGCATTTCGGTGCTACACCAGACGGAAACAGTAAGGTACCTGGGCTATGAGGTTGGTCTTGGTGCCTTACATAACCGCAATTGGGCTTTAAGGATTCGAAGGCTTCAACGGCGGCTAATCACAGCTTCCAGGGTCGCGACTAGTGTGGAGAATCGAGTGTTGATTCTAAACTCCATCATTCTTCCATCCATTTTATTCACGGCAGCGGTATTCGACATCCCAGAATGGGCGAGGCAGGCAATCCAAAATTTGTACAAACAATTTTTGTGGGCTCATGCCACTTCGACAGAAGCTAGCAGGCACAAGATCAACCCAGGACTGCTATTCACTCCGAAACACGCAGGCGGAGTAGGGCTGGCTTCATTCGAGGTCGCAATCAAAACTCAGCACACGAAACATGCACTACGGTGGCTAACGCAAGCCCAGGACAAGTATTTTGCCTCTTGGTGTCACTGGGCTTATCAAGGTAGGCCAACTTCCTCCTCCCTGGTCCTGTATGGAAGGGGTATACCAGGGATAACATCTTCTTGCACTTCGAAGCCGTCGAAACCTGCATGGATACAAGACATGGACAAGCTTTTGCAACCCACGACGGAGCAATTGGATTTTATTCGAGATCGCGTCCGCATGCACTATTCGACTTTGCTCGAAGGAGCCAGTAGCTTGTGGAAAGAAGATGAATGGGTATTATCTTACCATCACCCTTTTCCGGAAGCATTAGCATCCAACGACGTCCAAGTACTGGCACTGCACCGCTTTTGGGGAACGTTCGGATGGAGTAACAATTCGTGGATTCGCGACGGGCAGGGTCGGCAGCTTGTACGCTCCAAATACGACCGGATAGCTGACTGCTCCATCTCGGACTTGCACATTCGCAGAACCGGACCGGAAGAGTTTATCTTCAGTATTTCACTGGCTGGACCTGCCTCTAAGCATCACTATCAGCCGAAGTTGAGGCGCTGGGCTACATCTATCTTGCTCGCTTCGCCCTCTATTCGAATTGGGTCGGAACTAGCGCTGGAACCGAAGTTAGCACTTCGTCATGCGCCTCCGTTTCGGTATCATTTTGACTTTTCGACGGTGCGACATGGTTACGTCGTCGGGAATAGACGGGAGTCTGCGGATAACGGGTGTGAGCACGTCAAATTGCGGCAAAGTGCCGACGGATTTAGATGGTTTTTTACCACATCATTACCTGAGTTGGTTACTGAAACTGTCGCTGAGAGGGACATTTGGATGAGCCGACTGCGGTTACATGGTGTCGTGTTTTATTCACATCCTGATCATCATCGATTTCCCTGGGCTGTGGCCAACACGGTGGCGAACGGTTCGATTAGGGCGACAATTGCCCGGCTAGCGTTCAGACTTCACAAACGACTGCTTGCTGTCCCTTTGAAAGGGCTGATCCAACGGTTGAAACAAGTCATCAGCAAGGATGGCTGGTTGCGTGCAGCAGCTCATCAACGCCCGTCTCAAGTTTGGAACCATACTAATGGCCTTTCGGATTTTCAAGTCTGGACTTGCTACAGAATCGCCACTAATCAACTTAACCTCTACCATGATGGTCGTCGCGCTGACAACAGCTGTCGAGCGCTGATGGAGTGTTGGGGGCGTAAAGAAACGTCGGCTCACATCTTTTGGGAATGTCCAAAGGCGCGCGCCTGCTGGAGGCGACTTATCTGTCACTGGACGGGTCTCCGAGATGTGAGGTCTATTGATGAGACCTGGTATTTTGGCAGTGTGAATCGTCAGGCTCCTGCATTACCGGCAAGGCAGCGACAACGCCTACATGAACATTTACAAGACGACTTGGAAGCAGGGGTCATGGTTTGGAATCGCATATGGTTTATTATGTGTAGCGTCTGTTTAACTCACTTATGGAGTGAACGAAACGACGCAGTATTTCAAGGTGTGCGGACGACGGTTATTCACAGCGTCACCCGTTTTTGGAAGGTGGGGATTCGGCATCTCAGCGCGTTAGCGAAACGCGAACATCGTGGTCCCGACACAGTCGTCGCCGGGGCTCTCTTACATGCCTGTCTTGACCTCTTCACTCTCGAACCGCGGGATGAGTTGGTCTTCGCAGGAAGCAGCTACGACAAGCTACCGGATCCGGAGCTCTTGTCCTGGCTCCAGAGTTTTTAGACATCTTGTACATAGGTAAATGTTAATAGACTGTCATGAAATCTCTCTATTGCGCCACTGCCCGATTAGTAATGCGCGAAGTGGTGATCAGTAATGCACGACTGTACGATTCGTAATGAGCAACTGTACGATTAGTAATGAGCAACTGCACGATAAGTATTGAGCAACTGCACGATTAATAATGAGCGAAGTGGCGATTAGTTATGAGCGAAGTGGCGATTAGTTATGAGCGAAGTGGCGATTAGTAATGCGCGAAGTGGCGATTAGTAATGCACGACTGTACGATTAGTAATGCACGGCTGTACGATTAGTAATGCGCGAAGTGGCGCTTAGTAATGCGCGACTGTACGACTACTAATGGGCGGTTGAAGAATCCAGCAAGCTTTGAGTAGCAAAAGAGTTTGCGAACTAAGGACCTCAACTTATTCACTTTGCATTTACCATCCAGTGTTCAACTGTCTTTGTCTTTACTAATGCGTGTGCTCGCTCACCATGCACCATCCAGAAATAGCTTCAGGATCGAAAACCCATGAATTGAACCGCAGTCAACGGTATCGACAATAAAATTGCGGCAAAAACTTGTGCTCGATCGATCAGAACTGTTTTGTCTACGCCTTGAACGGATGATGTCTGTGCACGACAGGTTATCTGTCCGACGTGATCATTCGACTACGATCTCCACGCAAAACAACATTGTAACAACTTCGCGTCGAGAATGTAGTTGCACAGCATTGTATCATGCTACAGAACTGAGGTATGAGGCACAAACTTGAGTGTACTTGCAGCAAAGGTTTCCGCAAGCACGTGTCTTACCGGTGCCGCTATCCGTGTCATCTCGAACACGAGCAGTCTAGATTAGCATTGACTACCTAAGCGCGCTGTAATGTAAGAATGGTCACCACCGAGCGCACTCATCCTGCGGATTTAACACTTTCCATCCCACTGAGAGAGACTCCACTTCATCTCAAGTACTCATTCGTGCAGGATGCTGCTGCACTAATCTTGCTATACTGATTGTAGTTCGGATTTGACGTACCAGTCGAGCACAATCAACGCTAAACGACAGCCGTGTCGGTGGTCACACACAGAGCTACTTCCAAGCTGTAGACGCGAGATATTCGCCGATGGATTCTACACTACTACAAGAGCGGGAATGCGCTCATCACATGATCAGTCGTGGTACAAGAAGGCTTCCCATAGTGTCGTGCCTCTTCCAGGATAGGCCCCGTATAAGCGCAGCCGTGGATAATCAACCGCTCGCAAGACTTTGCACGGTAGTCAACCACAATGTCCTCATCATGCATCACACAAACAATTGTTCATTCAGTCGCCCGCCCACTGTAACGACAGCAAGATCCGAAAAAAAAAGAGCAAACGCATCAGCAGCACCTGGTGCCCGTCAATGGGTTAAGCCTACGCAGCTGTCAGTCTCCCCAACTGTGAAAGTTGAGTAAGATGCTGAGACCACAAAGAGCTCAGTGTCAATGAGCTCCGCCTGGTCTTCGCACACACTGACGTGGTGGTAAGCAAGTCGATTCGATTTGAGGGACAGACTGGTGGCACCATCCAAAGTGCTAACATTGATGAAATCGGGTCGTGTGATGATGTCCAGCAACCATGTGCCCAGCGTGACTGCCAGCCGGTTGCGACGAGGAAGTCGATCGTGATGTTTGTGGGCACGACTGTTGACGAAAGTCGTGGCTATCAATAGCTTTCGCGGTTACCACTACAAGATGGACGTCAGGCGTCCAAAAGTATGGACATCCGGGTTTGACTTCAGCGCGGACGATAAAGTGATGGACGATGTTTTGCAGCATTCAAATGTCCATGACCCAGCATAGACGACGAAACTGAATCAACGGTCTTGATTCCGTTGCCATTCGTTGGCTAGCATCTGGCATCTTAGGACAATCGTGTAGATAGTCGGGCAGCTGGGTAGTCGAAAGGAGGTTTGCGCGTACGACGCCGACGGTAGATCACACGGTTTATCGCCACGTGCCATCTGTGCAACGAGCACATCTGTCATTGATTCTTGTTCGACCTTGGCAAGCCGACAACAAAGAACGATATCGCCCGAGTTGTCCTTGACGCCGAGCTCGCTCGCTCTAACCCGGCACTATTGGACTTTGTCGAGCAGAAGCATCCGATCCGCGCTTGCTCGATAGTCCGACGGTTTGGTTGGTAGTTTCTCGAAAAGAGCGTCCAGTCATCCCTTTCAATGCCAGAAGTTGATACCAATGGGCCGGAAAACATGCTCATGGGCGAGAGAGAGTGCGTAAAGAATGCAGTAGCAGTCATGGTTACGGGTTATCATTTGGAAGCTCATGGATGTGGTTGTGCTCTGTGGTAGTGTGAGTATCACTTTGTTGAATGAAGGGAGGTACAGCGGAATGGCTAGTCCTCTGGTCATGCGCGTACCGACGAACCGAACCGGTAGCGAGGATTACAATGACAAAGGCGCAAACTTGCGCATCGACATGGACCAGGACCAAAAGAAGTCGACCAAGGCGCAAATGTTTTCCTGTGAGTGTTCGTTGCCTCTTCTTGCAAGTGCTCTAGCTGGTTTCTAACAAGTGTTGGATGTGTTGTCTTCCCTCCTCCTCCTTTTCTCATGTGCTTCTTCTTCTTCTTCTTCTTCCATGTAGCTGAATTCCGGTTCAATGCTGAGCTAGCATTGCGTGTCGCCTGTGGTGTCATCGTCGCTTCGTTCATCCAGACGCGTGATCCGAACTACGATCCGTCAATTGAGCACGACAAGAAGTGGTTTTTCTTTCCGGAGTGGTATTACCTCGGTGGTCTCAGCTACTGCGCTGTTGCGGTCATCTTTTCTACGGGGAAGAACGTTGGTGCGACGCTGACTGAAGTGTGCCAGGCATTTTATGGTGTGGGAATGGCTCTCGTGTACAACCTCGTTCTCTTTTCGTTCACGGACGTGCACACGTTCAACGACTCATACGAGGGGTATCTCTTGATCTCGGAGAAAATGTCTTTTGGAGGCTCCGAGTATTACGTGAACTCGCGCAACTTTTACGCCGTGCTTCCGTGGATCGTGATCTTTACTGTTGCTGTCCTGCTGTCTCCGCTCGAGAGCAACACCAAGAAGTTTGCGTTGGGTAACAACCTCTACTTCAGTACGTCCATCGAAGTTGCAAGTTGGCTTCCGATACTAGCGCTAACACCCGCTTGCTTTGCTTTGCTTGTAGCGCTAACCATTATAAACCCCACGGATCCATTGGACTCTTCCAAGTTGAAAGCCACCGGTGACACATACTTCGAGCCAAGCAATATTCTGAACAACCTCGCCATGTATTTCATGGTGGGGTTCGTTGGAACCCTCATTTCACTGCTCATCATGTTCATCCCGTACCCGATTTTGTAAGTGCCCAAGCTCTTCTTTGAACCTTTACCATGATTCTGCTGACACCTTTCATGTTCATGTCTACAGTGCGATCTCGAAGTTGCGGGACGAAACGAGAAAAGCTTCTGGAGATGTTCTGGATCTACTCAACCTCATTGTGGACTCGTACTGCTTCAAGAACAAGAACGTGGATCACATGAACTTTTTGAAGCTTAAACTGCAGCGCAAGTTCGATGCAGCCACCGCGCGCCAACGCCGGATGATCGACTTATTGGACAATGTGTGGTGGGAGCAGCTCTTTGGTTTCCACCTCTTTTTCAAATTCAATCGCTCCATGTCGAAGGGATATGTGCGGCTCATTGCATCCCTGATTGCGGACCTGCGGTCACTGAACAATGCTATGCAACTCGAGCAGTACGATGACTTGCACTTTATGTACATGAAGGTCCTCCAGCGCGAGATCTACGTCATCCAAATGCGATCAGGGGATCTGCTTCACGAGATTTCTGGAGAGATCCACGCTTCATCTGAACGTAAGTGCTGTCTGTGGTCTATTTTTGGTTTGTTTGTGCGTGGAATGCTCATGTGCATGACTGCTGCTCGTTGAAATGACAGAACTGAACCTCCAGAAGATCCATCAGCTCCAAAGTCAAATGGAAAACACGTTGCGGCGCTACCGAGAGGCTCAGATTCGGCTACTTCAGTCGCAGAAGGTCACGATGAAAGACGTTGAGGGCAATGTCCCACTCAACCTGTTTCTCTTTTCGCTCAACTCATTCTGCAGCACTTTGATCGAGTACCAGGACGCGCACAACAAGAAAGACTTTCATGGCGGTCGTCGAGCTCGGTCTTTTCTCGTGCAGTCGATGAAAAACTTTTTCATGATGCACCAGTACACTCGGTCCCGCATTCTGGAAGCGGCACGAGTCTCGGTTGCGATTATCATGGGTGTGTTTCTCGGAGTCTATATTTACGGCTTCAGCTCGACGACCCCATCAGCCGTGGCTTATGTGATGGGGAATCACATTGGAGGTTCCTTCAGCGTCACGGTGAATCGTGTGGGAGGTGTTGTAGCTGGCAGTGTCATTCCCTCGGTTTTCCAGTTTTTCATTTCCCAGGTTTGCAACCCCCGATTTATGAACGTGTTCCTGTCCAACCTGCTGCTCTTCGTTTGGGTCACGGTTTCCATGTACGTCAAGTTTGCCGGTGGCTACAGCTCGTACGCTGGCTTGGTGTCGGCCTTCATTTCTGCGGGAGTTCTGCTTCGCCAGTCCGATGTTTGCTATGCCAATGGTTCAGATAGTTCGTTGACGATCTCAATCAACTCGTACTCGAGTCTCGCGCAAACATCCGTGGGGTTAGTTTTGTTCATCGTGGTGGAAATGGCCATGTGCCCCGAGAGTGCCACAAGTTTGCTGCGCAAGAACATCCAGCAGACTCTGAAGTTGCAGCAGAAGGCATTTGGCATTTTGTTCGGACACCACCTTTCGAGTTCTGGGCAAATGAGTGATGAGACTATGGAGGAAGTTCGCGATATCCTCCAGGTACAGATTCCTGCAAAACTTGTGGAGCAACAAGCGCTGCTGCAAGAAGCTCAAGCGGAGCCACAGATGTGGCGCCCCGTGTTCTCAAAGCAGAAGTACGAGGCAGTGTTCAGCAGCAATCACCGCTTGTTGAACAACAATAATCTGCTGTACAAACTTGTGCGCTGGTACAATTATCGGGTGAAGAAGAACTTGACGCTGACAAATGCGATTGACATTCGCGACATGAGCGCCGACAATGCGCGCGTCTTCGGTCCAAACGGTGGCCCCTCGGCTCATACAAAGTGGCAGAATGCAAGCAAACAGTTCTTGTCTTCTGTGAACGACACGTTCAACACTTTGCAAATGCTCTTTGGTGAGTCCTTCCTGTACTCAGACCCGGACCAGACAGCGATTTTTATGCAGATGAAAGAAGCCTTTCGTGTGGCTGATAAGGACTGTAGCGGTGAGATCGATGCCGACGAGGTGGCCGTGATGCTTGAGACGATCTTTGCTCAGTCGGGTGCAGTGAAACAAGAGGAGATCACCAAGTACGTGTCGGACTTTATGGAGATCGTGGACAAGGATTGCAGTGGGAAGGTATCCTTTGAAGAGTTCATGGCAGCTCTTGAAGACGGTCTGAAACTCGAGGTCGAAGTGTACCACCGCCGAAAGCCAAAGGCAGCAGATCGTCTGCCAACCGTCTTGTCGAGCGTCAATGAAAGTGGTCGCGTGATGTCTTGTAGTGCGACTTCGTCGAACGGAGCTGGCATGTCGAAGATCACGGGTAGTATGCTCGATACATTTACACCAAAGAGAGGCGATCGGTTCTCGACTGTGTCGTTGTCGCGGAACACCCCAAAGCGAACGTCGGGATTCATGAAACGAGCCTCAACTGTAATGTCACCAATTCGTCGTGAGCACGACGTGCTGAACGTTGAGGACTTTACAACGAGTGACATTGCCGCGCAGATGAAGGCGACGTATGTCGAGTGGTTGATGGAAGATCACCGATTCAAGCGCGTGACAATGGAGGAAATGTTGCTGCTCAACTGTTTGGTAAGCGGTGCCGAAGGTATTGCCCGGAACTTGACGCTCATGGAAGAGATTGTCATTGCTTCGTAGAAATGTCCATGCGACTGGGAGTACCGAACGGCTCGTTTTAGTAGAGATTCGTGACAGTGTTGATGACGATAGTCTTGACATGTTGCAAAAAGTATCTTCACCTCGTGCTTGTGCTACGACTTTTTGGGCTCATTTCTGTCGGAATCCATCATTTGGTGCTGCTTGTTGTCGAGCTTTTCTGTGGAGATGTCCCGGTATGTCTCCCAATTGATGCATCCCGAGCTTACAACTTTGGTCAGTCGTACCCTAATGCCGCGGTTGTCATCGGTGAACAAACATGCTGCTACGAGCGTGGCCAGCTTCATGTACTCGCATCAGTCTATGGATCAGTATCGGCGCAGTCACGCAAGCAGCGTCGTCTTTGAGCGACTGGTTGTCACTTGATGTCGTCGCTGATTTCTCGGGCAACTTCCGTGTCTGACACGATTGCAGCACTGACGCGAAGGTATACGTGCAGCAGCAGCAAATCAGACGTACCCTCGTCAACACCCGATTTATCTTCATCTACGTTGATTGACTTCACCGTGGCACACTCTCAAACCTCTCTTGTCACACGCGTGCACAATCCGAAGCGTTTGTCACGAGCACTTATATCTCGCCACGAAGCCCTTGAATCGATCTTACATCTTCTGGCGCTTTGCATACTCCTACAAGTTTGAGCGCCTCTGCGTGCTCTTGAATGCTTGAGCACATCATTGCGCTACCTTGTCTGAGCGCCAATGACCACGAATTGTTGCTCCATAGTTCCGCGTCAAGATGGCTCTGCAGACTAAAAGCTCAACGCCAAGATATTTCCGTGCTCGACGCTAAGCGCACCTCCTCACGCGTGCTTCATCCTCATCCGGGCGCTTCAAATATTCTTGGTTAATATCACAAACGCTGTCAATAAAGTAGCTGAGACTTGTTCTAGCGCGACCAGAGCAATACTACCGCCGTCTTTCAACCAGACGAAGTGATTACATCCATCCTCATAGTGAACATCAAAAGACTCCTTCCAACCTCAAGCAGTTTGTCCATCTCGCCTGTATGGCTCGCACTACGGGGCCGCAAACGATCCTCGTGCTTCGGAAGTTCGATCATCGGAACGTCACGTCCTCTTCTGGCCCCTGATCATCCTTCATCGAGCCAAGCAAGAAACGTCAAGCGCCGTCATGCCCTTTTCCTGCATTGGACCCGTGATCCAGTTCATCGTCGCAGGACGTTCTGCAATTGCTGCATCCACGTGTAGCCGCTGTCTTCAGCATGCACTTGAGCGGGTGCAGAAACCAAGGACGCCATGTACGAGTCCAAATCGACCGCTCTTTCATTCATGCAGCCCTTACTGAGACGGATGGGTTATCTACATCAAGGTGAGTCGAGGTCGCTAGAGGATGACACCTTGTGACTGGACAGACTCGTTCAGGCTCAAGAGCTAGGAAGCAATGCTACTACTGTTAACGCCTGGCCGCGCTCCGTCCTTCGTCCACCTCAGCTACAAGGTCGTCGTCCCCTCTTCCTTGTGCTGGTCCTTCTTCCCGCCCGAGTGGTGCCCCTTGGCCTGGCCCTGCTGCTTCGCCAGGAAGTCCTCGGCCGCCTCCACAGCCTTGTCGATCGCCGACTTGTCCTTCTTGTCCACGTAGCCTGGCTGCTGCTTGGCCATGTCGCGCTTGGCCACCCGTTTCTGAGCAAACTCCGCGACCTTTTCTTTCGCGTGATACTTCTCGGCCGCGTCGGCCGCCTTGGTGAACACGGAGCCGCTGCCCGATTTGTCCTTGTGGCTCTTCGTGTGGCTTTTGCTCGTGTCGCCACCGGCGTAGAGTTCAGCTGCGTGCTTGGCTTTGTTGAGGAAGTCCATCAGTCTCAATGAACGGGACGAATCAGGTTCGAGTCGAAAGGAGAAATGAAGAGAGCGAGACGCGGACGACTCGCCATGCAAATCCAGATATCGGGTCGATGCGGGCGGATCTCGCCTGCAAACACGTGAAAGTGATGGGGCTGGCAAGAAATACCGACAGGCTCGGATCCATTGAGGGACATTCTCTCTACCGTGAGCAGCCGAACCTGCAGTCGATTGTAGCACAAACTCATGCAGCCGACAAACAGGATCTGAACAGGGTGACGACATGGTTTTCAGGGGAAAATGCCACACCGGCACAAGCCCATACATACGCTTTGATTTACTCATCAACAACTTCAACGCTAACTGCACCTCATCTTCTTCGTGCTCTCCTTCACTTCCATCCGCGAGGTCGTTGTACGACACTTGTGCACTCAGTCGATTCACTTGGCATGCGTCAACTCCGGAACGCGGGAGCTGCGTTGACCCTACGCGCGCGACGAGTAGTATGTCGGGTTGTTCGGGTTCAGCTGATTCGAGCGATTGTCTGTCGCCGCTTGGGTGACTCCGCTGCCTCCACCCGCATGGGATCCGCTGCCTCCACCAGCATGGGACCCGCTGGATCCCTTTGCTCCTGAGCTGCCGCCTTTCGATCCACCGCCGCTTCCTTTAACCATGGTTGTCGTTAACGAGTCTTGCTTGATTACTTACGATCCGATTCAATTGTGACTACGAGCAATTGCACATTGTGCTCACGATACACATTCTCTCCCGGTTGAGCTGTAGCAGGCCAGCTAACGGTCGTATGAACTACGGTTGCGAGACCTCGCGTAATCGGAGACAAGGGCGCCAGTTGCAATCAAAACACAGTGATAAATTGCTGCAGACGCCCCAACTGCTTTCGTGAAAGCTCACCGTTGTGAATGGCTAATTGTTGCGACCATGATCAGCATCAGTTTGATTCTAATAGTGATACCGCCGTTGCGAGTTGCATAGTTCAAACTGAGAGATAAAACCTGCCACCGTTGCTAGCTGCAGAGTATAAACTGGTGATGGAACCTGTTTCGGTGTTGCTAATAATTATTAGTTGAATGTCGACCTGTTCAGATCCTGTTTGTCGGCTGCATGAGTTTGTGCTACAATCGACTGCAGGTTCGGCTGCTCACGGTAGAGAGAATGTCCCTCAATGGATCCGAGCCTGTCGGTATTTCTTGCCAGCCCCATCACTTTCACGTGTTTGCAGGCGAGATCCGCCCGCATCGACCCGATATCTGGATTTGCATGGCGAGTCGTCCGCGTCTCGCTCTCTTCATTTCTCCTTTCGACTCGAACCTGATTCGTCCCGTTCATTGAGACTGATGGACTTCCTCAACAAAGCCAAGCACGCAGCTGAACTCTACGCCGGTGGCGACACGAGCAAAAGCCACACGAAGAGCCACAAGGACAAATCGGGCAGCGGCTCCGTGTTCACCAAGGCGGCCGACGCGGCCGAGAAGTATCATGCAAAGGAAAAGGTCGCGGAGTTTGCTCAGAAACGGGTGGCCAAGCGCGACATGGCCAAGCAGCAGCCAGGCTACGTGGACAAGAAGGACAAGTCGGCGATCGACAAGGCTGTGGAGGCGGCCGAGGACTTCCTGGCGAAGCAGCAGGGCCAGGCCAAGGGGCACCACTCGGGCGGGAAGAAGGACCAGCACAAGGAAGAGGGGACGACGACCTTGTAGCTGAGGTGGACGAAGGACGGAGCGCGGCCAGGCGTTAACAGTAGTAGCATTGCTTCCTAGCTCTTGAGCCTGAACGAGTCTGTCCAGTCACAAGGTGTCATCCTCTAGCGACCTCGACTCACCTTGATGTAGATAACCCATCCGTCTCAGTAAGGGCTGCATGAATGAAAGAGCGGTCGATTTGGACTCGTACATGGCGTCCTTGGTTTCTGCACCCGCTCAAGTGCATGCTGAAGACAGCGGCTACACGTGGATGCAGCAATTGCAGAACGTCCTGCGACGATGAACTGGATCACGGGCCCAATGCAGGAAAAGGGCATGACGGCGCTTGACGTTTCTTGCTTGGCTCGATGAAGGATGATCAGGGGCCAGAAGAGGACGTGACGTTCCGATGATCGAACTTCCGAAGCACGAGGATCGTTTGCGGCCCCGTAGTGCGAGCCATACAGGCGAGATGGACAAACTGCTTGAGGCTGGAAGGAGTCTTTTGACGGATGATCGGTAAGGACAGCATCAGATCGTCTTGCATGAAGCAGGCAGGAGACAACGACAACCTGAGAGGCTGGTCATCAACACGCGACTGCACTACGGTTGTTTGGTCGAGTGTGGTCGACTGACAAGCACGCGGCCAATCCAGCACATCAACGAACTTTGCCGATGTGCTACGGGACAAGCGTATGAGGCACTTCTTCTCCGCTATACTGAGTGTTCCTCATGCTGATGCCGCAAGCAGCAGCTTCTTTCGAATCAGCATCAACACGCTGGTACATCGACTGACAATCCACCAACTTCAATTGACCACGAAAACATCGAGACACGCTCTCATCCGTCGCCTCTCGATCATTGCTAGCGTGCGGAACAAGAGCAAAGGGCTACGATGCTCGGAGCACAAAGCTGTGTCACTACTCAATGTCGCTTGACCGCACTTGGCGGTACCACATCCTGGAAACACCACATCACAAAGTTCACTTTTATTGCTGGGCAGGTATTGCGTAATTCCGAGCGATGCCAATCCTGGCGTAACCATCGCACAATAATCAATCTCGTTGTTCAAAATGCAACTACGCAGGCCACTGCCATCGGATACAGATGAATCCACTTCCGTCGTTTTGCTGTACAAGAACAGGGCTAGCCTCCCACAATATGACGAAAAAACAATACTGCACCGTCTCGAGTCTTACGTGTACAATACGTATTCCTCGCGCACGTGATCGTCGTGAAAGCTCAATCAGAACAAAAGCCCAAATATCCCACATCGTTGTCAAAGGAACCTCTGTCCTGCAGCTGTTGTCGTGACGATCTGTTCCCATGCTTGATCTTGCAGCTGCCTGAAACAGTATCTCTCCATGTACCACAATACTTCGGCTGCATCCGGCCAGCTGAAAAACATTCGTTAGCGCTGAACTGAGCGCAATGCATCTTCCACAGTCCTGAAATTCAACAAGTATCTCGTGGATCACGGCGTGCTTGACAATTTAAAGCTACTAGTAAAGTAAATTCACAGCTCTCACAAAGATGAGTAAGCACAAACTCTTCGCCAAAACAGACCAAACGTAGTAAACTTGCAAATCGATTGCGGTAATAACCATAATTTTATGCGTGTCTCCCTCCAACCAAGCAAACCAAAAATTAGCCAGCCGTACCACAAACCAGCAGTATCTTCGCATTTTTCAATAGCGCCACGAATCCGAAAATCACGTCAGATATGTCGCTAACATCATGCAGCATCGCAGGTCATACTGCCGCTCCTCGAAAATCGAAGACTTCAACTCAGCGTTGTATCGCGTCTCGTAACAACGATGCCATCTTGCACTCCGGTAACATCACATGTTTAGTAATCCATCTCAAAAACCACTGGACCATCTTGTGCCCCAATAGCATCACATATTTAGCAGTCGCCACTCGTGTCGAGCGCTTGCCACCAAGATTACTGTTGGGGCGGCACTGTCCCTTTTCTCCACACGGGCACATCAAAGCTGAGCTGCTGGGCCTTGCACATCCCGCGGAGCTCAATACAGCCGCACAACTGAGCTAAATCTAGCATTGCTCGCGAAACAGAACTTGAATGAGCTTTTCATGAATACGTCTTTCAGCTGGCCTCGGTCTTTCACGCGGGTAAGGCAGTCCCATCACGCCAACTGCTTCAACAAATTTCAAATAGACGGTCTACAAGGTCAACATTATACCGAGGACCTGACATCACTGATACAAGGACTGAGATGCCTCAGTCGTTGCCAGACTAGGCAAAAATAGCGAAGAGTCACAAGATGCGTCATGTTATCGAGCATTTGGTCACCTGCCATAGAGCTCGCCTCAATCATCGAACATCCCGTGGTTTTCATCTCTCCTCCTATCCGGCTTGCTTAGTTCTTTTTGCTCTTGCTCATTTCCTTCGTAAACGGCACAGCGTGGCTCAAGTCAATACAGTCCAGACGCACTGTACCCAACACACGCTCAGGTAACTCCAAGACGCTTTGCGCCTCGATCACGAACGCCAAGTCGATGATGAGGTCGCGAGAGTAGCCCAGCAACATATTCAAGATACCCGTGGCTACTATGCTGCTACCGATGTCGTAATCTACCTCCAAGTAGTCCTTGCCCCGGTAGTATTCCTGATAAACCTTGGTGCCTAAGATGGCCGGCGTCGTGCCCACACCCTCGCGAATAGACCACGTACCCTGTACCACGCGTGGAATTAACTTAATACGCTTTGTCCGTAATTCGTCGTCAGGCCCGCGTAAAACGTCGTGACACAAGTCGGCGAACACCGAATTCTGTTGCAGCTCCAACGGGTCTGCTACAGCAAAGTACAGCACAAGAGAATGATGTGGGGGACCAGGGAGCATAAAATTAATGATGAAGATGAACGGCCGATCTTCCACAGCAGAATTGGACGCGTCGAGATGATCGAATTCATCCTTGACGAAAGAAGAGACCCCGACGTGCTCAATGGCCTCGTTGGACTTGAACAACTCCACATTCACGAGACGAAAAACCTGCCGAGCCGATGGAACTTTTGCCCGCGAGGTCAAGTATTGCGGCCCACGCACCATAAAGCCTGCAGCGCTCGGCTCACTCCAAAATTTGGTCGGCAATCCGTGCTGCACAGTGAGATCAGTGCGGTACCTTTCCAGCATTGAAAACTTAGTCTCAGTAACAATCTGTTGGCTCGGTGCAGATAGTGAACCGCCATCCTTTTCTCGATGACGGTCCGACACAGCAGTCTCTGGCCGCAAAGTTTGCATTCCTTCTGCTGCTGTGATGGCCGTGATCATTTCCAGAAAAAACACACCATAAGCATGAACGTAGTACCATGAGCGCGCGAGCCTCCAATCTATCCAGCCATTCGGATTCATCTGAATGGCTAATGTCACCCAACACTCGTCAAAGTGGTTGTCACTGTCCTCTTGCACGCGCGGTGATATGATGAAACCGCCGCCCAGGATGTTTGCACGCACTGCTCCCGGGCTGTGAGGACAATCCGTATGCGTTGTGGACTGATAGCAGATAAAGTATGAGCCATCTGGTTCCATGCGCCAGTAGCGCAACAAGCATAACTCGCGGGCGCTTACGGTAACTGGCCACAAATACGTTGAAAAAAGCTTCCAGTAAACCACGTCGCTATGGTCTCCCGTGTGCTCCTCCAGAATACGCGCGTCTTCAATTACATGATTTGAGCTATAAAACGGACTGTTCAGCTTCATCAGCATCTCGAACACCATCCGAGGCGATGCATTCACTTTCAGACTCGTACGGAGCGCTGGTGGGGGCGCAGAGGTTCGAAGGCTGCTTTGATGGCTTGAGCGTTCGGTATCAACACGCAGTTTGTCGGAGAATTCGTACAATTGCCACGATGTTTCTTGCGAGAACGTAGCAGATGTGCGGAAGCTCTTAGCAATAGACCTCGGCATTGACCCAAATGATCCCGACCGCTGCCTGGTCCCCATTTGAGGCGCCAGTAACCCCGCCTGCTGTCTGCTTTCTGAGTAACGTGCCAGCGGCCCAGCCTTTCCGTACGAATGCAGTGACATCGACCTGTCCCTCCTGACACCGCTCGTTGGCGCGGTGGAGCCTTGCTGCTTATATTCAGGCAAAAAAGTGCTACAAGCTTCGTCCATGTCGGTCTCGTGGTCCATGTACCAGTTCAAGTAGCGCTTCCACTGCTCTTCGGCTTGTGCAATACACTCGAGAATGCTGTTGCGCCACCACACCGCAGTCTCTAACGATTCAGCAGCAAGGGCTATAGGACCCTTGCTGCGGCTTTGGGCAATCATGGCACCAGCCGCACCAGCGCTAGCAGCGGCCGCTGCGCTCATGCTCATGCCCATCATACCGATACCAACACCGGCAAGACCACCTGTCAGCACCACAGCAGTTGCCGCTGTGGCTGCAGCAGCCGCTGCTGCCGCACGATTTCGGAGCTTCCGTGACGAGGCACGTCTGACACTTGCCCGTGCATCAAACTCTGCCTCGTGTGAGCCAATTGTCGGGTCCAGCAGCGACAACTGGAACTCACTTCCAGGACGAGATGGCGTAGTCCTCGGGGTCAACTCGACACCTGCTCCGCACTCTTCCGACACTTCGTCATTTGTTGCGTAGTTCAAGTGCCGGATCCGAAAAGTGAAAAGCCGCTTGGTCTCAATCTTACTTGGCGACTCCCGCACTTCGTCCACAGTCGTACCAGGTCCCAGCACGTACCATCCTCGTGGCTCTTTGTCGCCTTTTTTGCGCAAGTAGCACAAAAAGTGCGTCCCATGGAGCGTCGAGCGGATCATGAAGTACCGTTCTCGCCACAAGTTCACGTGCTGACCCTTCTTGCGAAGCCATCCTTCCATCCGGATCTCGCTGCTAGTAGGCGGCAGCAACGTTGCTACTGCTGCTGCAGCCATCTCCGTTTCGCCAACACCTCCCGTCTCTTCTGCAGCAGCCAGAGCACCCGCAGTTGCTGCCGCAGCCAAAGCTGCCGCACCAGCAGCAACAGCACTTCCCGTCAATGCAGCCACTTCACTATTGAGCAAGAGCTGGCGGTCCCGTTCGCGACACATTTCCTCGACAATCTGCAACAGTCGTGGCTTCATCACCTCCCGGACGACACTCTCGTCGAGTCCTCGAGAGAGTGACGATGTCACTAAAGAAGAAACAGCCGTCGGGGCCTCCAGACCAGCATCTGTAGCTTGTTGACGGGCAGCAAAAGCCATCATGAGGTCCTGATAGAACCGGCGCGCCCGTTCTTGGAACTGTGCGTCTTGAGCAGGTCGCAGGACGACGTGATGCGTCAAACCTACTGCGGTTATAGACGTACTTGAGCTACTGCTGGTGCCTGTTCTTGGAACGTTCGCGTGGACTGAGATAAAGAGCTTCTCGAGCGCCTGGAGCACGACGCGCTTGCCGTTCTCGTGGCTGGCGTAACACGCGGTGATGTAGTCAGCGCAGACGATGTCCAGGAGCATGTTGAGACGGTCTTCGTCCAGTAGAATGTCGGGGATCATGCCGAAAGGACGCGACGCGCCGTCGTCTCTCTTCATTGTGAAAAGAGAGAGTGAGAGAGAGAGTGATGGTCGATCGAGGATGACGACGAGAGGTGGGTAGTCGAAATGACAGGATTTGCGAGTGGATGTTGCTCGAAGTTGGAGCGTGGGTTGATCGTGTGGGTGGATGCGCTTTTCGGCGACATGCGTCGTTAACAGGAGGTGGAGAGCCGGGTTTTAGTAGCTTTGTGCCAGTCGAGTTGTCTTTTTCAGTAGCAGTATAACCGTTGTCGTCGGTCACCTGATTCGACGGGGCGGGGAGGAATGTAGGTGGTCTATTCTGTAGGTTAAATACAGCACTTGATCTACTCGCGGTACATGCTCACGCGATTCAGAGATGCAAGTCTCTTGGCTTGAGTCATGATTCGAATAGTAATGTGATGACATATCGGGGTGAGCCGATAGATGGTCGACATACATTGCTCCGATACATTGAGACAACAGCAGTCGGGCTGAATAGGAAGCAATTCGTGTATGTGCGATGACCTCCATTCGAATGATACCTTGGCACTACCGATTCAGCACCAACATATGGTTCAAACATCGTGTCCAGAGCGGACCGACTTGTCTTTGGCATCGGAGCGACATTCCTGCGAGCAGCACTTCTGCATTTCGTTTACAGGTTTTGTAAGAAGAAACATCACCGATGAAGTGGGGTATCGCTTCAGTGCAAAGGGTGCACATCAAAGACGAGTATCATCGTGAGGGGAACCGCTTCATTATTAATAAGTGCATGTCAATGACGAGTCCAGTGTGTCGTGCATTTAGGAGACGCAATAGCCCTTGATGATTGAGTCGATCCAAGGACGAACGGCAGAGATCCGTGAATAAACACTCATTCCACCGGTCTTGCCGCAGCCGGTGGTTTGACTGACATATCCTACCAGGACGTCATGGTCCTTGTCCTTCACGATGACTGCGCCCCCTTTGTCCCCAAGGCACGACTTGACCCCCGACACGCCCCGAGAGCACAAATTTGTATCGTCTACCGTCAATTCCGTCGCACACAACTCGTTGCTGACGAACTGTACCCCAGCACCCTGCAGGTGGGGAGACTCCACGGCTTGCGCCGAGGCATCTTTCCAGCCAAGACGGCTGCCCTTCATTCCAGGCTTCACCATTGATATAGCTGAGTCCAGACGCACGGGCTTAAAAGTCGTTTCTTCCGCCAGCTCAAGAATGAGATAGTCGTTGTGGAACGCCGTGTTGTTCGGGTGCGGTAATAAAACCGCGACCTTGATCTGCTCGCCGTCTTTGTTGCCCTGGCTGAAAGTCGAGCCGAGAGAGACCCAACGGATGTTGCCAACAATGCAGCTAGTTCTGGCTAAGACGTGGGAGGGTCCAATAAGAGTTCCGGCACAAAAGTTGACGCCATCTTTAGTGGAACGAATACCAGCGAAGTACCCGATGCCCTTCGGGAATGTCATTACCGGGACAGTGATGAGGTCGCTGGCGAGACTCGAAGACGTGTCCTGGGCACATACGGACTTCAAAGCGAATGCAGCAAATACAGTCAAGAGATTGAAGGTGAGGCTCATCGTGCTTTCTTGGAACACGCTGCCAGTGGCTAGCAAATTCTTAAATGCACCAGCAACTGCACCATGTCGAGATGGGGCGTGTGCTAAGTCCGCACACCCGTTCAAAAGAGAACAGAGACGAAGGCGACCTGGTTCTACTGCGACGTATGGACTGAAACCAGAGAGAGGCGTACGGTTCTCAGTCGTACACACGCGCTTCATCTATGACCACTAGATACTCACCAGACCAGTGTCTCTTCCCGTACGGTCTCAGATCCTGATTTCCAGACGCTCCTTGAGATCGCTGTGCTACCTTCAACAGTGACTACCCAAGTCTGCGGCCTACCACCGTTTCGAACAAACAAAGTTGTTGAGCACAATGTCGATTTGTATGACAGCAACCTCTGCCGAGCGGCACATGTCTTTCGCTCAGTCAATGTACAACCTCGTTCTGGGAAGCATAGGAGATGGTCGTATTGATTGAGCAACTACATACACGTACGATCAGGTACACGCTCTTGGTTTCTCAGTCACTGAAGCAATCTGTAATTGTTTAGCAAGTGTGAAAGAGTGAGAATGTACCGATACAGGAGGGGGAGTGGTGTCCAGGCGGCTCCACCGCACCAATTGATAGTTACGCACGTGGCGCTAGCGATTGACAAATACCGCATACTCTCGAGACTTCCAGACATGGAATGGCAACAATCTCAAATAGCTACAACAACGAGTGCTTCACTAGTTCACTCTGACACTGGTCTACTTCGCAGGCTTAGTAGAGTCTGCATGCCGCTTGACTATGGTGGCGTTATACAGGTTGACACCGAGTTTCTGACAAGCTTCAAGTGCCCATAAAGCAGAATCAGTCCGTTTACGCACAGGAAGGCAGCTGTGTCTGTGCAATCGCTCTGGATATCTGCACCAACTGCAAATGCACCGACGACGATACCTGTCCGCTGGAGAAGAGATGAAGCACACTGCTTAGCAGTGGTGCAACTTTGGAAGTAGTAGCTCCGCCTTCGAGCGTAAAAAGATCGGGCATCTCAACTGATTTCAAGCCATGCTACATTCCAAGACGTGATGTATCAACGTCCATCGAGATTCACGGTGTGCACACGCACCTCTTCCTCAGCTTTTGCTGTACGACGACAGTGCGAAACCTCCTTGAAGCTCTGCATGTCATGTTTGCAACGACACCGATCAGAAAACCGGCCTTTTACCAGCTTTGTGTACCTACCGCAAGTCACTTGTGACTTGTGGTGCACGTGCTCTAACTCATGCGTCTCGCACGCGTTTCTACCTAACGGAGCCCGTCAACTCGATCACTTCACGATTCGTGTCGGTGAGTGTAGATGGATCGACGATACTAAAATGGTAGCAACGGGCTTTTGTAGCTGATCGTCCGAAAACCAGCTTGCTGATCGTCCGAAGACCAGCTTGCTGATCTTTCGTCCATCAACGCGGCTGCAACGTGCACTAGTACCGTGCCTATCTCAATGAAGACCTGTTTCACGAGCGGCTTTTTTCTTGCTCGTTACAGCGGCAGGACGTCATGGCATCCGATGGCAATGGCACGCGTGCTGTATCGCCTCGACCCTTCACCACTATCGAATTCGCATACTCCGTCTCCACACGCCCCCACAGAGACAACTCGTACGATGAAGTACGCACCAGCGTTTATTGCAGGGATCGCCGCTCTGGCCGTCACCGTCTTGACTACGACTACCTTCGCCGATGCTGTAGAGCGCAAGCTTGTCCTTGGAGGAAGCGCGGTGCCGCGTGGAAGGAAGTCCTACTACGCTGGTTTGCGCAACACAATGGAGGGCCGAAACTTCTGCGGTGGAGCCCTTATCAGTCCCAAACACGTGCTCACAGCCGCTAACTGCGTCGAGTCAGACATCCGCTGGGTCTCTATTGGCTCGCACTACAATAACGGGAGTGAGGACGGTGAGCAGATCTTGGTCGCGGCGGTCATCATCCACCCGAATTATACGGAGCCACACAAGTTTTCCAATGACTACGCCATCTTGGAGCTGGCTGTCGCGTCGTCGATTAAGCCCGCAAAGCTAGCAAAGGCCGATGATTCGGACTTTAAGGTCGGCGCTATTGTAAATGTCGTTGGCACGGGGCTCTTGTCAGAAGGCGTAGGGGCCGTAGATGCACACGAGCTACAACGAGTGGATATGACACTCATTACAAACCAAGAGTGCGACGCAGACGGCCGGACAGCTACGGATATGTCGATGGTCTGCGTAGCAGGTCAGATCAGCAAAGGATGGTGTGATGGCGATTCCGGGGGTCCGATCTTCATCGAGTCTTCTGACGATGACGATTCCGGCGACGTGGTGATTGGTCTCGCCAGTTGGCGGAGCGATGGGGGTGCTGTCCATGGGTGCGGCCGCGGAAAAAGTCTGCCTATGATTAACGCTCGAGTTTCGCATGTTCGCGAGTGGATCGAAGCGATCAGAACAACGTCGTGCTTTGTTTAGGCTAGCTACTCCGAATTTGCTTTTGCTTTACGTGGACTTTGCGAGACGTTTCCAACAAAGTAGTGACCAACCATGCGATTCTAATTGTTGGCTGGCGTCCTGTGAATATGAGGGTGTAGGGTGAACAAATCGTGTGACAGGAGAACTACGGTGCTAGGCCAAAGCGCATGACGTGAAAGCCCCGAGCGGATAAATGCACAGGCTGGGGTTGACTTTGCCTGTCACCACGAAAAGTAAAGGCGCCACAAGCGGTCGTGAATGCCATGTACTAGGTGCAACGGAGAGCAGTCTCGACAAAAAGAAGGCGATCTTTGCTGCTGCTGGTTCGGAAACACATGGGCCCGAGTCAGAAGAGTAGTCTCGCAATACGAGATCTGCAGAGTAGATGCTTATGCTTGGTCCCCTTTGCGTGATTTACCGCGTTCACTGATCATTTACACAGCAGAGGTTGCAACTGTGAAACCATGTTCACCAATTCAAGCCTTCGATTCGATCTGTACACTTTTTACATGGCTTTCTGCATCTTCTTGGGCTGCACATGATGTGTGTTGCACCTGCATTAAGCATCTAACTAGCGGATACAGATGAGATCCTTTACGTCGCTCTAAGCGTGAGCTTTACTGCTACTTCGCTCATGCTCGCTATCACGCATGACAGATGGATTGACGGCACGTGCATGTACGTCGATCCAGTAGTTCTGGATGATCTGGTCGTGTTGGTTTCTTACAAAGCCAGCCCTTTTTTGCAATCGTGGTTAGCACGGTCGGAACTTGTACGTACAAAGTGATTGTCGATCGCAAAGCCCGTATCACTTTGCCTCGGAGCTCTTCATGAGTGAAGCACTATGAACAAGTAGATAGTTATCAACTTTCGTGAATTCACATCGTTAATTCGATTTAACATCGTAACGAGCGACCTTAAAACGGAGGCTTACATCGTGAGCCTCAGTTTTAAGGTCGCTCGTTGTACGACAATTAACGCAATATGACTTCTAATTCTTGTCAGCTTAGTAGCGCTACCGGCTATCGCGACTCCTCAATTTTTCACTTTCGTTTTTTTTGTGGTTTAGTTTTTGGCCGGCTTTAAGTAAAAATACAGTCATAATGGAAAGCGAAGGAGAGTCGAATGATCCCTGTGGCAGCCATATGAAAAACGACGGCTCAGTTGGAAGGAATGCGGCTGGATGAGTGATAGGGCAACGAACTGGTGTGCCAGGTCTGTCGCCCTGTGGAAGCGGATTCTTAAACGTCGACAAGAAAGCCTCCATTAGGTGGTGGATGTGGGCGCGGTCCAATAACGTCATTCAGGAGCAGGGAACGACAAGACGGTGTCAGACGGCCTGGGGTGAGTTCTAGCCGTCTTCGGAGGAGCAAACTTGGTCAAGGATGAAGTGGAGAGGATTGTGCCAAAGCGTAGATGAGCTCTTAAGGACGTGGATCTCGAACAAAATGAAGATGTGCGGATGTCGTCGTCACCCCGGCAGTAGATCGTAGAGGGGACAGTGCATCTAGAAACTACACAGTTATGACCAGCCTGAGTAAAGTGGAGTGTAATATATTAAAGGGAATGCTAGACGTCACCAACGACCCCCCTACACCAAACTACCACGAGGCACGAAATTTGCACTGAGTTGCCGAAATGATGTCGAAACGTGATGCCTGCACGAAAAAAAGGCGACAGTGGCTGGCAAATTCTTCGAAGGTTTTAGGCAGTGACGCAGGTGAGCAGATAAAGAGCCTTTAGTTTTCTCAGGGGGGCTTCATTCGATAAATTAAACAGGTGATTAGATGTAAAGGCCTTTGGAAAGTCAAATTGTACTAGTGTACTTCTTCAAAGTAACGTTTATGCATCCAATTCTACCACCTATATCGAACGTCTAATCACCTCTTGAGAAGCAGCATGAAAGGCTTCAACTAGATCATACGAGAGCTGATTAACTCTGTGGAAGAAGCGTGCCATGCAGCAATGGACAAAATGTTCGTCGCAGGTGTACTGCCAGGTCCTTGTCAAATTTAATAGCAAAGAATACGGGTCACCCGTCTCGTCCTATATTTATAAGATTACGACGGCCGTTGACACTAAAAATTCTGACCATCATTAATGGCTGGTCCAACCTTTACCACGAAGGGATGACACTGAACTAATCAAATGTAATTATGTCTAATACGATGCTATGTCAAGAGGACTTCGTGAGAGGTGTAATGAAGCTGACAGACATGAGCATTGGATGCTGTACGATCACCTTATCACTGCTTCAGATACTGCCATCTTTGATACTGTGCTGGTGATGTTACGAGACACCCTTTGTGTGAAGTGCCACGAAACCTTACGTACACTAGTACGTGCAGAGAAAGCTAATCGATTCAATGACTAAGCTGAGTAAAGGGTAAAAAAGGATCTGTATTTAATATAGTTAAGCTGTCAATATAACTTCAGTCTTGATCTAACTATATTAAACTACGTCGTCGTATGACGGAATCCTGCAAACCACTCATTACGCGCGGCGAGCAGCGATCGGTTGTAATGTATGGTAGATTAGTCTTTATCTACCAATCTTTGGGCAGCGCATGTATATTATCTTCCTAGAGAATAACATTCCTTCAATATTACCTATCTCGGGTACTATTGGCAGATAATTGTCACGCTGGACAATCTCCCTATTAACACCGTTTAGTGTCAATATCATGTAACGGGCTACCTCGTTACATCACCCCCCTTAACCATCAATGACCTATTGATTGAATCACGATAATCGGGGACAGGGTGATCATCGTTGTATCGCTCTGGGAAGGGGAGCACTTATTTGTCAATTCCAACTTATTTGCTAATTCATCGCATGGTGTCAAAGTCCATGCGATGTGCTTCTGAAGCAGCTAGAAAGGCGGTTGCACGCATGCATGCAAGCGAAGAGACTACTTTTAAGCCTCAGCAGCAGGCAGTGCCTGTTGTGACAAGCAATGTAGATGAGCCTGAAATAGAGATCATTCATTCCGGCAAAACGCATGATGCATCCGAATTGAAGACGGCGTCTCCCGCCTCCAGATCACCCGGGGCGGACACTGCCAGAGCTAGGTTGACTGGCCCTGGAATAAAAAGGCACAATTATGTCCGAGAACTTTGGACCAAGCGATTCGTCCGACAAATCCTCGTCTCACGCAAGTCCTTCTGACAGCAGGTCGCTTGGTGATGGTGGTGACGGACCTATACGTCACTAGGAGAGAATCAACTTAAGGAATCGAGCTGCTACTGGTGTCAGTGCTCTTGATGACACCACACAAGAGGCCAGGGACCGCAATTTCCTGCGCCATGCTCCTCGAGTGGAGTCTCCTTGGATGCCATCACTTAAGGAGTTAGACCGAGTGGCCGGTATGACCACTGGAAGGGATCAATTTTGTTGTTCGACTGAAGGAAGATGTGTCCTCCTAGTAATAGCACAGGAACTATCTGTGCTGAGAAAGAGTTCTTTACCGGTGCGTTTTTCAATCATCGGTGATATTATGGTAGCCGTGTTCGAGACGGCAAAGCCTTGGTGCAGGGATGGAATGCCCTCATCCACAACATCGTGTGCATTGGCCGTGAGGCCTAGCTCGCCAAACTTGATGCAGCTCGCATCAGTTTTGAGAAACGCAACCCAGTCGGGGCGCGATACAAGTTGCACCGGATGTCGAGAGAGGTAGGATTACTCTGTCTCTCGTGGGATGATTCGTGTTTAAGTTGCCTGGACACTCAAATCGTGCCCCTAGGGAGGCCTACCTTCCTAATGGTCCTTACTGGAGGGCGCGCATCTCTTCTGAGATAATCGAAAGGGTTGACACTTTGCGATCCCTGTGCTCGCGTTCGGAAAGGTCGTTTTCCGACGGCCCTTCTACGAACGCAGCGGGTGGGTCTCGTCATATTGCTCGACGAGACCCGGAACATCAACAGTCAGCTGGGCACGAGGCTCCCAGCTGTCCCACGCCGGTGGATAGCCACGCCAGCGGACGAGTTAACTCGTCCGGACGCCACTCACATTGCGGTGGTTCAAAATAAGATCCACTAGAAAGTGTTGACCACCGCCATAATCCATTAGAGGATGTGGTGGTGGCGGGAACACCTGATCCGGTTAGAGGGTCGGATTAGCGTGGTGTTCAAGAGCTGAACCGTGTAACGGAACAGTTACAAGATGAATTGGCTCACGAACGGACTCGGCGTTACGAACTCCATGATCTTGTGAAGGATAATTACAATTCCTTATTGCACGATCGTTCGGACGATCGTGCCGCTTATGCGTTCTCGCAACTTGAGAACGAACGTTCTACTCGTTCTCTTCGTGACGAGCTGGCTGTAGCTCGTCAGGACGTCGCTCAACTGCGTAAATAGGTCACTTCGCTAGTCGACCAGACTAGCTCGTTTAAAGGGGACCACTCGAAGGTGGTCTCGGCTCTCGACCGCGGAGATCTTCTTCGCATCTCGAAACGGGCTCGTGTTGATAGTACGGGCGGAGACGTCCAAAGTAAAATGTAGGATGCGTACGCATCGAACGAGGCAGTTCAATCGTGTCTACCTTGACCATTCGGAGCAACACACGAAATGGGCCGATGTACCTGGTCATTATTTTGCTGCTGCCCACATTTGTCACTGCATGTTTCGGTAGGTTTACTGTAGACAGTAAAACTAGGTCTCCTTCATCAAATGAAAGAACATTTGCTCTTCCATGTTTGTCTGCGTTTCTCTTCTGTCTGTCTAGTGCATCTGCAATAGAGTCTTGAACGAAACGGACAACCGCTTCGCGAGTCAGCAAAAACTCCTCTGCTGTTTCACCCTTGTCAACAGCAGTGCGCTTCGTGTGCACTGCTGAAAGAAAAGTGTCCTCACCAGTGAGGGTATCATCGTCCTCACTTTGGCGGTCATTGGAGATGCTGAATATGCCAGCATCGTCGTCATCGTCATCATCAATATCGATCGCATCGACATCGGCATCCATCACGTCGGCACCATTGTCGACGTGCGATGAGCAAGAACCGGATCGGTTTTTGTTCGAGCGAGATCCCTTCCCCTTAAACTAACTTCAAACTCTAAGAAGGCGGGTAAACGTGGATGGCGTAGGCCATTCAAGAAAAACGGTGTATGCGTTGTCGACTCGTGCACCGAGTTGCTGACGGCGAATTCCGCCATCGGCAAGAACTCACTCCAGATCGTAAACGAGTGGATATATCCTCGAAGTATCTCTTCGAGGACGCGGTTGACGTATTCCGTCTGACCATCTGTTTCTGGATGGTCAGAAGTTGACATCGTTAAACGTGTTTCAAGTGAACGGAACACGGATCGCCAGAACTCCGCTGTGAAGCGGGGATCCCTATCAGACATGATTTAACGGGGTAACCTGTGAAGCCGGAAGATAGTATCGATGAATACACGCGCACAGCCCTGGGCTGTGATTGACTCCGGTACAGCAACGAGATGTAACATCTATAAGAACCGATCAGCAAATCACAAGAATATTAGTATTCTTGTGAACGTCTTTGGGAAATCCAAAGACGAATTCCATCGATACGGACTGCCAGCACTCTGCCGGAATCGGTAGAGGCTGCAAGGGTACACAGGATGATGGACTAGGCTTCACCCGTTGACAAACTTCGCAAGCGCGAATGTATTTGCGCACAAACTTCTACTGGCCCCGCCAGTAGAAGTCACGACTTACCGTAAGGTAAGGCTTTCTCTACCGCGATGCCCACTTAGTGGGGCATCGTGACACTCATACATGATGCGCAATCGCAAATAATTATGAAAGGGAACGACAACACTAGGCGTGTCGCCGGTGACGGCTGCATAGTACAGCAGGTCCATCACGAACCGAATACCGTTCGGTTGAAGAACGGTATTGAGACGACAAGATTTATAGAGCTCCACTGCATGGATTAAACACGTAATTCATCGATAGCAGATTAGACTCATCTTCTGCGTATGCCTTCCGCACGTCGTCGAGCAGATTCGACGACGGAACACTCACTGTTAGTGTCGCGACAGTGGGACCACCCCTACTGTTGGGTTGAGCGGTCGACTCAAACTTGGGCCGACGCGAAAGAGCATCAGCGACGACATTAAGTCGCCCTGGTTTTTACTCGACGAAGAGGTTGTACTCCGCGAAGAAAGACAGCCACCTCGCCATTCGTTGCGAGAGGTGTGGACTGTTTACGGCCGTATGTAACGACGCATGGTCGATATAAACGATGAAGGGCCTATCTCCTAAGAGATATACCCGAAAATTAGCCAGTGCATATTTCAGGGCAATGGGTTCCTTGTCATGCACCGGATGATTTTGCTCAGCTGCTAGCAGCTGACGCGATTGATAACAGACGACGCGCTTAACTCCGTCTGAGTCGTACTGCATTAACGCGCAGCTAATTGCAAAATTTCTGGTGTCACAGACCACATGGAATTGTCTGTCCTGGTCTGCAATCGCCAACACAGGCGATTGCACCAAGCCTTTCTTGATGACTCCAAAAGATTGCGGACACTCAGCGCTCCATGACCACCTCTCGTTTTTCTTTAGTAGACGAAAGAGATCTACGGTCCTCTCGGCATAGTTGAGCGAGTATTTGTGCAAATACGCTGCCAAGATAAGGAAATTTCGAAGTTCCTTGACGTCGAATGGCACAGGCAAGTCGCTAATCGCCTTGATCTTTTCCGGATTAGGGCGTACACCGTTTTTACCCACGATGCAGCCAAGAAGTGGTTTCTCCTTCGCTGCGAATATATACTTCTTGAGGTTCGCTAACAACTTATGCTCTCGCATTAGTGTAAGAACCTTCCGGACGTGGATTCCATGAATCTCCACGTACGTCTTTCCATCCATATCCCGGCTTTGGACGAAGACATCGTCGAAGTAACTCGGTGCGAAATCGCGCACCGGTCGCAACAGCTTCGTAACACATCTGTTGAACGTTGCAGGGGCGTTACTTAGCGCCTGTGGCATCACTAGACACTCCCAGTGCATACCACTGGGGGTGCTCACTGCTGTGTACGGGATGTCCCGTTTACGCATGAGGATCTCATAGAATCCAATCATCAGATCCATGGACGAAAAGATGGTACTCTTTGCCATACAATCTATGATGACGTGCTTCCTTGGGATCGGCGTTTGAGTCGGTACCGTTGCAGCGTTCAATTTGTTGAACGCGTACACTATCCGCCACTCTACCGTGAAATTTCGCACACAGACGATCGGAGAGCTGTGTGGGGATGTTGATTCCCTCTTATGACCAGCCTCTAAACGATTGGCAAAGAATTTGTCGATCGCTGTGACCTGTTCGCTGGGCAGTGGCCACTGATTCATGACACATTACTTTAAACCGGATTTCAGTACGATCTCATGCCGAGTGCGTTCGTCCTTTGGCAGCTCGCATGGCACAGATTCCGGGAAACATCCCTGAATTCGATCAAATTCTTGTACAAAGAATTTGTCTTTAGAGACTCTCAAGATTGAGACGTGCATTTCTTAATCCGGAACTTCTCATCGAGGACATTCTCTTCCATCGATGAGCTACTAAAAACTTGTTCGTTCTCAGCAACACTTGTTCCGACCGAATTTCGGCTACCTACTCGTCCTCTGTGACGAGTACGCAGATATTCTTGATCTCGTCACTACGCAGATCTTTTTGGTCTTGTCACTACTCAGATCTCGCAAGAATCTTTTAGATTCTAGCGTTGGCAACTTAATAACCCCGCAGCTAACTTTGGAGGTGTAACTAGACTAAGTGTATAAGCGCCAACACTTGATCCGTCATTTACCAAGACGTTCACTGTCTTGATGTTTTTATGAATGAAAATCCGTAGGTGGTTGGGGAAACACACCCTCAACATAACTCTCTTAGGAGTTATACCTCCCAAGAGACTTATGCTGGCTCGGGAGTTATCACTCTCAGGAACGTTAGAACTTGGAATACGTATTCTGACTGTACGTGCACTACCACAGTCACGTCCTTTATGGTCGACACTCTTATAGTCGATCTTATTTGCTTTAAGATCGACTCCCTGTTCGTCGATCTAGCTGTAACGTGTCGTTCATTCTGAACAACACCCAGCTCTCTTCTTGGATGCACCCTTCTTGGTGTGCATCCATGTGCCGGTCCACTCGATCTCTTCAAGCAATGAACCTTCGGCTTAGGCTGTGTCTCTACATAGGTTACAGAAGCTAGTTCCACAGTGTAGTGGCCTTCTACACTGTAGGGACGCTCCAAGAAATTCATCAGATGGACATCTGATGAACAGACGGCAGGCATCTTCACGGATCAATGTTGCCAGCTAACACATGGCTCGTATCTTCTGAGCAATGGCAGACCAAGGATGACATCAAATTTGTCATTCAGATCCAGAACGAGTAAGTCATCAATGTACTGCTTTACTTCTAGCATGTTGTGGATTCCCTCTATAGGTTTATTCACTGTTACGGATGCGCCTGCAGCAAGACACACCGTCATCCTCGTTGGGGGGAACTCTCGCTCGACATAGTTGAGACTAATATCCTTTAGCGACTGGCGTCGATAAAATTGTTCGACGCCCCACAGTCAACTAGGGCGCGAAGTGACATTTCACTTGTTACTTCGATCTTCAAAGTGATGAGGGACTCCTCATCACTATAGACAGTAACACACAGCGACTGTGTGTTGGGAGCAATCTTCGCCAAGAGTCCTGCAAATTCTCTTGACGTTGCTGGATCAGCAAGGTGCTCCGTCCCTACGGACCCTGAACAGTTTTTGGCTGTCCGACTTGATGTCGAGGTTAAGCGACATAGTCGGACCCGCGCCTTGGACCTTTCCTTGGCCAACGGCGGTCATTACGTCCTGTCCTTACACATGATGCGGTGCTTGACGCACTACACTCATGAGCGTAGTGTCCGATCTTCTGACAGCGATGGCAGCTCACCGTTCGATTGTGACTCAGAGAGCGAGTGTTCTCGCTCTCGATGTAACAGAGGTCCATTGGTTTGGGACCTCCTGTTTCCTGTCGTCTCGTCGGACGATAGTTTGACGAGTTATCCTAAGACTGTCTCAGGCTGAAGTCTTCTTGCTCCGAATACACTATTGCCTTTTCCAGCGTATGAAAGTCCTCTCGGAACATGTAGATCTGTACTGGTTCATCCACAATGCCGTAGATGAACACGTTGATGAGCGCGTGCTCACCAACAGGGTTTTTCGTAACGCTTCTCGCAAGTTAGCGTAGGTGTTGTGTATAAGCGTGCACATCACGCTTACCTTTCTTAAACCTCAGGTATAAAGAGCGTGCTTTGGACTCGGCACTTAGCGGCTCAAACGTTTTTTTTTGAGCCGAGACCTTAAGGTCGATAACAACTCGAACACGTTTGAGTCGTGGAGCGTGAGCCCTAAGGCCCAATTCTTTGCTCGTCCTGTCAAATTTGACAGGACGAAGGTGACTTGCATCTCGTCATCCTTGATATGACGGGCCCTGATGGCGCCGTCAAGCTCGACGAACCAGTTCAAAAGGGAATATTCATCAAATTCCTTGTACCTTGAGATATCATCTTTAAGGGTTCGGGTCGACGCATGTGCGTCGGTTCGCCCATCGACTGATGAGAGCCTTGCTGTGTAGCAAGACTATCTTCTGTCTTTCGACAGCAGGTTCCCCTCGTATGAACATGTTGATAGCGGCATGTTGCTGATCTCTGTTTAAAGAATCTACTATGCCACTATACGGCGAGTCCGCCCGTGAGCACACTCACACAACCAAACACATCCCATTCTAAGTCACACTTACAGAGTAGCCTTCACGTGTGACGGGAAAGATGTCTTCTTCAACGTTCATCATGTCCATGTTGGACGTACACTAAGTTGGCGTTGGACGGACTACGAAGTGATAACAGGTGTAACGGGGCACCCTTTGTGTGAGGTACTACGAAACCATACGTACACTCGTACGTGCAGAAGAAACCAACCGACTCAAACAGCTAGCTTAAGTAAAGGTAAGAAGAGAATTGTATCTAATATAGTTAAGCTGTCAATATAACTTTAGTATTGATCTAACTACATTAAACTACGTCGTCGGATGATGAAAACCTGCAAATTACTCATTACGCGCGTGTGCAGCGATTGGTAGAATTCTTGGTTGATAAGTCTTTATCAACCAACCTTTGAGCAGTGCATGACTATTATCCTACAAAGGGGATATATTCCTTCCATATTATCCATCTCGGGTACTATTGGCAGATAATTGCCACGCTAGACAATCTCCCTATTGACACCGTTTAGTGTCAATATCATGTAACGCGCAACTCCGTTACAGGTAAGGACATGCGGGCGACTATAGGGCTTATATTGCCGCAAGTGACCTCACTTTATTCATATGGGAAATTAATTGAAGCACGCCGACGTCGATGATGTGCTCACTGTGTACAAGAATGCACAATGCAGGGAATCGTCGTCAAGTAGCACACATTCAATAGTAACATGTAGCACGTGCAGCAGTGCGACGAATTGACTGCACCAAACCGTTCATGTAAAGGGGCGTTGACAAATTGAAACAGAGCACACCTTATTCAAATTACTATTTAAACCTCGTACTGATGACAGTGCAAGGTTGTGTGCGTCCAAATATTTCACGTAATTGTACGTGCAGAGCAAGATTGCTTTACGGAGTAAAAGCACTCAGTAAAGGTAAAAAGTAGAACTGTATTCAGTCTACTTACTCCTTTTAGGTAAATCTCTATTTTACTGCCGTTTAACTATGTCTACTTACGAACATGTATTGTAAATATCTGCCCACCACTCATTGCATGCTTCTGTCGTGACTGGACTTTATTCGTCGATATCTCGGTCCTGTACCAACCAATGAGCAGTGTGTTACATCTGCGAAGCAGTATTATCTGATAAGGGTAATCTCGTGGGAATGTTGTGGTTGTCTTAACATAATATTCATTCTCGATATTTACCTAATGTGAGCTATTATGTAACGGAGGAACCCCGCGTTGCATGACTTGTGCTCACACGGTACAAATTAACTATACACGGGCATTGTAACGGGGCACTTTGAAGCTTGTACTGGTAACAGTACAAGCTACTTATCCTAATGACAGAATAAGGCGGTGCCTCGGAACTTCAAGTACACTGGTACGTGCAGAGGAAGACGGTAAGAAGAAGCGAGTACTTGGTTAAAGTAAAAAGTAGAACTGTATTTATAATAGTTAATGTCTGTTAATAAATCACTATTTATCCTCATCTAGCTATGTCTAAATACAAATGTGTAAATCAACTATCAGCTCACCACTCAGTGCGTGCGTCTGTCGTGGCGCGTCTTCGTTGGTTGATATAATGGCCCATATCAACCAATTAGGAACTACTCGTAAGTGCTGCAGAATATTTGTCCTTATGACAATATTCTGAGAATATAGCTCTGATAGTTATATTCTATTAACAATTTCTTATAAATTGTTATGTAACGGTTCACCCCGTTACATCACCCCCCCTTAACCATCAGTCACTTTAGTGACTGATTGACTAAATGGATACTCGTCCCAAATCATTTGGGACAGGGTTTGCACTTGTTGGTCCGAGTCCACTTTCCAATAATTCATCGCATGGTTAACAAGCCCATGCGATGCGCGAGCAAGGCCGCCGAGAGCGCGTCCGCACGTCTATGTGCGGACGCCGAAGCAGAAACCGCTGCAAATGATGTCTCATCGGTTGCTGAAGCGACTCAGCCTGTGTCACTTGGTGATGCAGGCGCTGGTCATGAAGACACTCATGTCTTCACAGAGTATGAGCTCGGTGTCTCATACTCTCCTGATACGGAAAACGGATTTTTATCGATGGCGATCGAATCCAAGCCGCCTGCCAAGCGTGGCATGGATGATGCTATGCGTCGTAGCATATTTGGTTCATCTGATGAATCAGATGAACCATTGCCGAAGCGAAGGCGCTCGAGGTCGCGAGACTCGGGCGCTAACAGTGGTGTCGGTTCTCCTATGGACACCAAATCGCAACGAGGTGCCAGTCCTTCTGTCGGCACGTCGCAGGAAGAGCGGGACCGCAATGTCTTGCGTCTCGCTCCTGAGAAAAAGGCATG